CCTCAGCAACTTTTTTTTCCAATTTTAATTACTTTCAAATAAATGCATTTAAAAAAATGGTACACTGACTATGTGAGTCTTAGCTTAGGCTAACTGTTGAGAAGTTTGGCTTTATTTCCTGCAGCTTCCTCTACCACACTTAACTCTTAGTAGTATGCAATGTCAACTTAAAATCTTCTTTCCACTTTTTAAGAAGCTAACATTTCAACAGTATTTTTTAGAAATATTAAAGAAAAAATATTTTTTTATTATATAAAAACAATGACAAAATTTCAAGGAACCATGTAATTCTTAGATTTTTTTTTCCTTTCTAATCTGATGCCATCATGTGTCTTCTGGGGGTTTGTGGTGAAAATTTGTTTGCAATTTACTTTTCTGCTTTTCTATGATACTTAACTCTCTTTCACAGGGTTTCAGCTCCCAAAACAGGTTGACCCCCTTTTTAAATTTGTTTTAATTAGTTATATATGACAGTAGAATGCACTTATATACTTTGATATATCATACATAAATGGGATATAATTTCTCATTTCTGAGTATACATATTATAGAATCACATTGGTTATACAGTCACATACATACATACAGTAATAATGTCTGTTTCATTCTACTATTTTTCTTATCCCCACATCCCCTGCCTTCCCCCTCCTTTCATTTCCCTCTACCTAATCTAAGGTAACATTATTTTTTTTGCATTTCAATTCTTAATACACATAAATATCACACTTTGTGAATTTCTGTTTGTATATAAAGTATGTCAACATCCAATACAAGTCTTCATACATGTACTTTGTATAATGATGACCATCACATTCCACCATTCTTCCCTATGTAGGATTCATCTATTCCTCCCATGCTCTTCCTCCCTATCCTACTATGAGTCAGCCTTCCTATATCAAAGAAAACATTCGGTATTTGCTTTTTGGATTGGCTGACTTCACTTAGCATTATCTTCTCCAACGCCATCCATTTACCTGAAAATGCCATAGTTTTTTTTTTAAAGCTGAGTAAAATTCCATTGTGTATATATGCCACATTTTTTTCATCCATTCATCCACTGAAGGACATCTAGGTTGGCTCCATAGTTTAGCTCTTGTGAATTGTGCTGCTATAAACATTGGTGTGACTGTGTCCCTGTAGTATGCTGTTTTTAAGTCCTTTGGGTACAGTCCGAGGAGAGGAATAGCTGGGCATGTTGACCTTTTTGTAATCCTCTTTTTCTTTCTCTCTTCCCAGCTCCCTGTCTCAGGGATTGAACCCAGCGGTTCTCTGCCAATGAGCTACATCCCCAGCCTTTTATTTTTTATTTTGAGACAGGTTCTTGCTAACTTGTTCAAGCTGGTCTTGAACTTGTAATCCTCCTGCCTCAGCCTCCCAAATTGCAGGGATTATAGGGTGCACCACCATGCCTGGCTTCCTATCCCTTTTTTGTCATCTGGAAACAATCTTTAAAGATCCTTTACTGTTTTAAAAATTTTATTGAAATATAGTTCACATACCATAAAATTCACCAATGTAAAGTATGTAATACAATGATTTTTAGTATGATCATTAGAGTTGTGCATCTATCACCAGGGTCAATTTTTAAATATTTTCAGAATTTCAATGTCTCCCACCATTTATCTATTACTCTTCTTGTTCTGTCTCTATACATCTCCCTAATTTGGACATTTAATTGCCTCATATATGATCAGGATATCACTATCCATCCATGTTCTACCATGTATCAATAGTTTTGTTTTCACATTTAACCGACATTGTACTATGTATGAATACTTTTGTTATTGAATAAAATTCCATTATATGGACATACCACATTTTGTCTATCCATTCATTGGTTTATGGATATTTGTGTTTTTTCCACTTTTTGGATATTATGAGTAATCCTATGCATATGCATGCATAAGTTACTATGTGGCTATATAATATCATTTCTCCTGGGAATATACATAGGAGTAGAATTACTAGGTTGTGGGTCAATTGTGTTGGTCATCTTGAAGAAATGACAGACTATCTTCCAAAAGTATTACACTTTTGCATTCCAACCAGCAATGAATACAACTTTCTGATTTCTCCACATATTCTCACATACTTCCTGATAGGCATTATAGCCATCCTAGCAGGTGTGAAGAGTTATCTAATGATTTTGACTTGCATTTCCCTGTTGACCCATGATGTTGAGCATTTTGTTATATAATCTGTTACAAAATGGCATTGAGGGAAAGAGATGAAATAAATATAGTTTGCTGGATTAAATGGAAACAATCACTGTCAATGAGAGACAAGAATTGTTTTCTTGTAAATAGTTTTTATTCAGAGGTTCAATTTTTTTTATGCCTATACTTGTTTCATGTGATAGTTACTATGTGATTAAGGGATTGACATATTGTACAGTTAATTCATAATATTACTGTTATAGTGAGGAATTTGCCCAATTGACTTCTCAGGGTTGAATAAAGGAGAAGAATGCATTGTCAAAATCCATAAATCTGTTTTTCATAACCAATAAAAAAAGACCAGTTTATTAACATACCTGTACATGGACAGGTACGTTCTTAATGTGCTATCAAAAGACTTCGAGAACATTGAAAAAGGATACACAGCTTATCATCTGGAATGAATAATGAGATCCATAATTACAAAAGCTGAGTGGTAGCTATAAGAATGGTTATGTGGGTATATCTGCTTTTGTATATCTTTAAACATTTTTGTAATAAAAAGCTTTTAAAAAGTAACATTAATTTCCATATGACAAGAGGGAGGAGCCAATAAGAATAGCTGGCAGGGATGTGTTTAGTCCATAAACTGGAGTTGAGCTATTCCTCAATATAGATACTTTAGGAATTCCTTTCAGGTTAGGGCCTTGGAAGAAAATTTATTTCTATATAACAGGAAGAAATATAAAACGGGGGGAGGATGCATAGAGTGTTTTTAAAAGTTTATTAATGCAAATTCCATGTAATGGCTTCTAGTACCTCTATGAACTGTGAGTCTAGAACATTGTCTCTACAAGTAGAGTTGACCCCACTTTGTAGAAAAGAGTTGGAATAAATGTGTCATGAGAGAATGGACTAAGGAATAGTGACCTAAGCTTCATGAGGTTTGTTTATTGAGAGTAAGTATACCATAATTATTTGGGGAATAAGTAAGTGAATTATTTCCACATAGTATGGGACCAACTATGACTTCACTGTGGTGACAGTAAACCTGTTAGATTGAATCCAGTAGTGATCCATCACTTATAGGAAGGCATCCATGGGAAAAGCAGAGAGATGGGATTTTCCAAGACAAGGAGGATTAAATGTATGGGATGAGGTTCAGTTGGAGTAGAGCTTTATTAATGTTGGTCAATTCTATGATGAAGAGGGAGGGAATGAAGACCTTTGTGGATAGAATGAGAAATGGAAAAATTTTTGACACCTCAGAATTTAAGAGCATAAACTAGAAGGATCTGTTTTCTCAGATGGAGATGTTTTCGTGGTGATAAATTCTATAAGTGTGTCAATAATTAAACTGGACCAAAGGTTAGAATCCTAAGGTAGGACAATATGGATGAAAGACCAGTTTATTAACTAGTCCATACATGGTGATTTTCCAGTTCCTCTACCAACTCCTTATCTGTTTATCCCAGGGACTCCACAAAATCTGTATGCCTTCTGCAAATCTGAGCTTTGAACACTGCTCTGAATTCTGACAAAGAAGATACTCTAGTAGATTAAAAAGAAGCTGTGGTAGACAGCTTTTTGTTTTGATTTTGCCAACCAGAATTCACAATTTTGCCAGGAAAATCTATTCAAATATCCCCTAGGAAACTCAATTTTGAGACTCAGTCTGTGCAAGAGGAGTCACCTTCCTTACAGACAACTACTGTAAAAGTAGGTATGTGTGTAGTCTTGAACAAAAAAAAGCATTCCATACAGGTCTGTGGTAAGCAGGTGAAAATCTGTAAACCTGGTGCATAGTTCAGCATTCACTGTGGGATCAGGAGCTCAAAGTGATCTGAGAGATATATCATGGCTCCATCCAGCCCAGGAAGATCAATTGTGGCATTCTCATCCTCCTAAGGGCAATATCTTGCATATTGTTATAAGCATGGGTAGAAAGAAATGTACCAATGGCACCTTCCCTAAAGGTAAGGATGACATGTCTGTATTCAACCAATCAGCTGTCTTCTTGTAAAGAACCCTTGTTTACTTCTGCCAGTACAACCTAAGCTCTGCAGTACCCTGAAAAGCATCAGAGAAATGCTGAAGGAATCACACTGGGAAATGCAAGATGATGCCAGGGTCAGGATGTGGGAATGATGGGGCATAAACCTCTATTCCACCAATAATGTCATTCTTTACTCTCTGTGCATGTATTTCTTATTTTCCCACTCACCCTAAGATATCATTACTCTAAGCTTTATTTTATCCTAATTAACACTGACAGTTGTAGGCAGTTCCAGAGACCCCTTTACTCTACAAAACCATCAACAACAGGCCAGGCAGATTGAAGAAATATTCAGGAAGAGGGACCATTTGCCTTAGGTGATTTTCCAGTAAGGGAACCTCAATGGCAAGATAACAGTATGCTTCTAAAATACATTACCATGCAACGTGACAGGTTCTTAAGCAGCACCTCCTCTTTTCCCAGATGTTCTGTTAGCTTGCTTGAAGCCTTTGGCAATGCCCTAAATGTCCCCAGGAAAGGGTCATGCACCTGACAGGCTGATTTTGTACTTCTCTCTTCTTGATCAATGAGGGGGGGGAAGTGTGGACTGCCAAAAATGTCATTAAGGCAAAGCTAAGAGGTTGGAAACTGCCACCTTGTCCAACTTCACAAGGGAGGGGAGGGGATTCAGGGGCAGGTAACTTACCTTCAAGAAAAGCTCTAGGGAACTTGTCATTTTGCAGAAGCAAATACGGGCAAGGATTGAACTGATTTTTTTTTCCTTAACCACAACCAATGGGGTTTCCCAAAACCATGCATTCAACACAATACAAAGAAAAGAAAACTCTTGTAAGAACATTTATTGGGGACATTCAGTATTTCCATCAGGGATAATTATTATAGGAAAGGAAATATTCCTTCTTGCAAATGGTGGATAAGAAGTTTCTCTTTACAAAATAGGGAATAATAACCAAAATGGCTTCAGCACAGAAAGGGGCAACCAGAGACAACTGGCACACTTGATGCCCACAGGTGAGACTTGAGTCTCTGGATCCCTGTGGGCATGGAGTTGATCCTTGTTACTTTAGAGCAAGGAGCCTTGTAATTGAAGGGATGCACCTGGACAAACTCTGCCTAGACCTTGAGTTTTCAGACGTAACAGGGGACAAATGTGGCTCTTGGGGGCAGGTGACATTGATTCCATGCCAGTGTGCATGTTTCTCCCCCAGGACATTTTCACCATCTCTCATGATTCTGGGGTTGTCAGTATTCCCAGTAAAGGTAGCACTCCTTTGGACTAGGCCTCTGCCCTGCACAGGTGATGATGGGGAGCTGCCCTTCTCCAGGGAACCTTCTTGCCTTTTGCTTTTTATGTTAGGGTAAAGCCATTGAAAAAAGTTCTTCATCTGGTTTCTGAGGCTTTCAGGAGGAGCTGGTCCCTTCAGTAACTGGGCTGAGCAGGACTTGCTCCCAAGTCTCTGCTCTAATGTTCTGTCTTGAGGGTGGTGGCTCCTCCTTCTGGGTTGGCATGTGCCCAACCCTGCATCCCCTTCACCAAGCTCCCGTGCTTTGGGTCCTGGAGGGGTCATTGTCTTAGCAGTTGCTGGGCAGTTCTTATTATGGCCTTTGTGGAAGTCAAGCTTAGGGACCCAGGGTCCCTGCCCATGATTCATACAAGTCTGCGTGTTGTCCATGTGGACATGCAGGACCTGGGAAACTGCCATGTTCTTGCATGCAGCACCCTGGTCATGTTTAAGGAAGGTCTTGGAAGACAAGCTATTCGAAACAAGGGGTATGCCATTGCTATGGCCTTGCTTCTGGCTAGGTTCCCCCTTCTTCATTTTAGCCCTTAACTCACCAAACAATGGATTGTTAAGGTGTGACAATCCAGGGGCTCTAACAACTAATATTTTGGGGGAATTTTCAGGAGTATAGACATCTGACACTGGAGAGCTTTCTGGATTTCTGGTTGTCAAGACAGTGGGAGGTTGTGACTGACAAGCATAGAGCTCCTGTGCCTTCAATGTCTCCCTGGATTTCTCAGATATCTTGGACATGGAAGAACTTCCCCAGGGCATCCTATTGCCCTGAGGCCTTGCTACACTGTAGCTGGAACTCAGTCTCTTAGGTCCTATTTCCTGAGGTCCAACCCCAGCTAGCCTCATGGGCAGCTTTGGGCTGCATCTATTGGCTGCTACAGGTGGTTTCTGATAAGCTTTGCCTATAATGCTCTGTGTCTGGGGCAAAACAGATGGTTTGCCATCCTTTATTCTGCAAAGGTCCTCTACATGCTTATGCTTGATCTCAAAGACTGTTTGTGTCAGGATCGCCTGTTCTTTCTTGACCATGGCTGAGGTGGCAAGGAGAGGACGATCTAGACTTTGAGTTGCATTTTTGGTTTTCTCCTTGTCTCCATGAAAAGCATTAGATCTTCCTCCATGGGTCTTGGACATGCTCTGTTTAGAATTTACCCCAGAAATACGGGTGGCAGAAAAAGGAAACTTGGAGTGAGAAAAGGAGTGATATGAATCTTTTTCATTAAAGATCTCTAGGGATTCCTGAACCCTGTTGGGAAGGCCATATATCAACCTCTTATGAAACAGTGTAATGTGGTCTTCCATCATCCTCTTCTTGCCAGCATCAAGGAAGGAAATAGCCTGGATAGTATTGACAGAGCTGTCCATCCTGGTTGGTGCCAAAGGTTTGTGACTCGTTTGTCTGGTGGATTTCTCACTTACAGGCAATGCCAACTTGATAGAATGCCATGATCTATGCACAGTGTCAGGAATCTGACCCTCATTAATTTCCTGAAACTTCTTGCTCAGGTGGGAGTTCAAAGCATTTTCAAGTTGTTTCTGAAGTGGATTCACCTTTGAGGTACTTGGAGGTCCACCTGATGGGCTCTGCAAGTGACATTCTAGGTTCTTTCTTGAGGAAGACCCCAGAACATTATGTTGGTCACTCAGCACATGACGATTTTGCTCAATCTTGGTACCATCTCTCTGTGCCTTCCTCACTCCCATCTTTAGAGGAAGCATTCCTGAGCTCAGTTCATGAAGGTTTCTGGGTTGGCTCGAGCCCCCCTTATTTATATCTTTGGTGCTCTGACTCTTACCCAAAGACTTTCTTGAGAGGCCACGACTTCTCTTTGACTCAGAGGTCTCAGGAATTTTTTCTAGAGGACGCATCAGTGACAGGGATGCATAGACTCTGCGGGGCAGGCCCCACAAGTGTTGCAAACGCCTCTTTCGAAGGTGGTGGTCTAGTTTCTTCTGAACATCATCTGAGAGGGGATAATTTCCATGAAGGATGGAGATTGCAGCATGAGCTTTGGAGGATTGGTTAACAATGTTGGGAGCTGGAGGACAAAAGTCCTCCTTGGATTTGTGGACCACAGAGGGTAAACCCCACAGACTTTTCTGTGATTTTTTCTTCACATTGTATTCGAGGTCATGAATTTCAGATGACACCAGAGATAGTGCCTCAATTTTGTGTCCAAGATCACGCACTCCACAGATCCTAAACTGTTTTTTAGGAGGTGACAGAATTGGGAGTGGGGATTGAGGCTTAAGCTGGGTCTGGGCATGTTGAGGAGAGAGATATTGGGGCTGAGGTTGGGAAGAGGTCTTGGGCAAAGGTTGAGGTTGGCTTGCAGGCAGGAACACAGATGGGGTATAGAGAAGGAATGGGGATTTGTGAGCTTTGGAGTCATTGGATGCTGTATTGAAGCAGACAAAAGCTGAGGAATAATCACCTGAAGCTGGTTCACTAGGGCTCAGGGACTTGGGGTGTAGAGATGGGACATCAGCAACTGACTCTGACCTTTTCTCTGAAGAAAATTTTTGGTAATTTGGCTGATGTTGTTTTGGAAAAGATTCTGCTTTCTTTTTTTCTTTCCACTTGAGGACATCATGCCTCTTTTTGATTTGTCTCTCCAGGCATGTCAGGACAGCAGGGGGCAGAAACCAGATGTTAGGAGTCTCCACACAGTAGGCTACAGTGTCTCCCCCAGATAAGTTCTCAGAACGGAAGGCAAGAAATTGCTGTTTTACACCATCTTGTTCCAAATTGGAAGACAGCACATTCTTGGCAGGGGCCTCTGACCTGGAATGGTCCATGC